CCGACTATAGGCCTGACTCTCTAAAAAAAGTCCCCAGCGGAGTCGCCAAGCTGTCGAAACGATTTTTAAGTGGGGGAGCAGGGCTAGATTTTGAAAACCGCGTCATTTTTAATTATTCTCTTTACGATTGAATTTTAATTAAAAACAATGTGATTTTAGAAAACCTCTCGTTTCAAAAATTTGAAAATTCATTCACGATAAAAATACGGGTTCGAAGAGTCGCCACCAATCTTTGATTAGGGTGTGATTGGACACCCAAAAATGTTTTGTCATTTTAAAATAAAAAATTAATTTTAATTAAAATAACAAATTTAGGTCTGTGTTACCAAAATTCGAGTTCGGGAGTCGGTTACGTGTGGGGAAGGATTAGCACCCCCACAGCGCCCTAAATTGGTACCTCGTCAATTAATTAATGTCTTTGCAATGAAATTTACAAATTCGATTTTAATTTGATTTATGATCCCCCAACAAATAACAACACATGAATTCCACCATATTCAAAAGAAACAAGATTGATTAAGTTAAAATTACCAAGCCTTTAGAAAGATAAAGAATATTCGATTATTTACAAATATCGAGACCAGATCTTATATAAGTTCTAACTATCTTTTCTCGATAAATTTAAAGAGTCGAATATTTATTTTTCTTTCGTTCCCAAATTTTAAAATAATGAATCAATTTTTAGGCGTCACTGATGGGATACGCTTTTAATTTAAAACCGTTAGAAGCGGACCTCTAATAGTTAAGACAACCCACTTAAAACGAATTTAAATTAAAAGGGTATTTCCTTAATCCAATTATGTCGTATGGTCGAGTTATGCACATGAGTTTAACATGCAAAATTTAATTAAACAAAATGATCATCTAACTAACAAATAATATATACAACATTATTCTGCGATATGATATTTCAATAAAAATCACATACATATTTTATAAAAAAATTTAATATATATATATATATAAATAATCTATACATAGTTATATTTAATGAACAAATGTGACCTAAACACAACAAACAAAAACATAGCATAACAAATTATAAATTTTAGAAAATAATTATATTTATTAAAACGAGGACTAAATACTATTAAATAAAACTTTAATATCCTAATTATAAATAAAATACAAATTAAGGTAGAAATGCTAGTATTATACCATATTGAATACTAAGAACTGAAATGAAACTATTCTTATTGCAAGGGACTAAAAATAACATAAATCCAAACACACTCAGGATTAAAATGCAACATGCAAAAATATGAAGGTCAAATGTTTAGGACAACAAAGATTTAAATACAACAAACTTAGGACTAAAATATCAAAAAAAAGGTGAACCACATGATCTTTTCATAACATTTTCGTTTCTAGATACTCCAAACACAATACAACCAAAGTGTTACAAAGGACCAAATTGAAAATTTTACAAATTACATATCCAATGTAAAAACGGTAAGAAAAAGGCCAAAACATGATACGAGACCAAAATAAATCACGCTGAAAGTTAGGAGGTGAAATTAAAATGCTGCTAAAATTTAGTTTAGGGACCAAAATGTAGCAGACTATACCTACTGGGCCTCACATGAGATTACCCCCAACTATCCTAAAACACGGATAACACCCCTGGCTCGAAGCGCTGTCGTTTTGACCATACCCAAAGCGACGTCGTTTTGGAGACTGCCCAGACGACGTCGTACCACTAGCAGACATACACGGTGATTAGGGTAAACCCCTTAGACCTGAACCATTCTAACCCTTTCCCTAACATAGCCCTTCGTTCTCCCTCTCTGCCTCTCTCGTTTCTTTCCACGCTCGGCCGAGGCTCCCACAGCCTCCTCAAAGCATACGGCCACCGAGGTCGCAGCTGCTAAAGGCTCCGATGAGGGCCAAAAGCCTAACACCCCCGTTCTCTTCACTACCTGAACCCCATATAAAACCAAATCAAAATAAAACCCTCAACCTTAAATCAATTAAACAAAACCCTAACTGAAATCTCAACCACTCCTCGGTTGAGAAAACCTCTCCGATGACCACCCTCGCGACGGCCACCAAGGCCGGGACTAAACCAGGCCGAACCTAAAACCCCACGCCCCGACGCACTGCAAGGTAAGCTATCAAGACTCTCCTCTTATTTCCGTTTTGTTTCGCTTCTGGTGGTTGATGGGTGAAAACCTCTGCTTTTTATGATTTTTTGCTTATTCATTCACTTTGAAACATACCACACACACATACACGTAAAAAGTACGAGGAATACCTTAAAAATTATCTCTATTGCCTTCCCGATTTTTTAATACAATGAAGAATTTCCTGCTACAATATTTTCTGTTTGTTTTTCGAAAAGGATGGGGAAGACCCTTGTTATAACCCTTGATCTTTTTCTGGAAACGTTGTTTACACACTGTTTTTTTTTTATTTTCTTGCTCTATCATGTAAAAAACAAAGAAAAACCACCCTCTGTTCATGAGCTCTCCCTCAATGTAACTTTTTTTCGAACCCCTCTTGTCGTCTCTTTTTGCTTGATCACCTTCTTGAAGTGTTTTTCTGTTTTTTTGTTGATGCGTGTATTTTCCTTTCCAAGGTGCCAGAGCATGGGTCTTCTCTTGGAATCATACCTGCAGGGCACGGGAAGCAGTGGGAGACATGGGCACGGGCGACAGCGTTGGCTCGAGCTTCTGGGGTGGTGTGCTCATGGAGCAGGGGCACGAGCTACTGCTCGATCATCGTGCTTCACGTGGTGGGCAGAAGTCTGCATATCTGGTGACCGAATAATTCTCTACAAAAGGGTCTGGTTGTGACTGGGTCAAACCTGGGCCTTGGGTTTAGATTGTTGAACGGGCTGGGTGATTCAATTTTGTAATTGATTTGGGATTAGTTTTGGTTTGTAAATGGAATCTAGATATTTAATTTGGATTTCGGAATGAACTTCAATTTCGATTTATATCTCGAATTCCAATATGTACGATTTCGGTCCAATTAAACACCTAATGTTCCTCAATTTTCATATTTTCCCAAATGCAAGCTTTCATTCATCACTCATCAATATCACCACTTCATCCGAACTAATTCTTCATCGAGCACCAACACCTTCAAACTATTTCTCGGTCCTCTTCGAATGGATTTAAATGGCCCATGCAAAATTAGGGTATTACAACTAACATAAAAATCTTCTATAAATTCTTCGAAATCAAACATGTTCTTCAACCACTCAGTTCATGAAACTCAACATCCAAGCATGATTTCCATGAATTTTTTATACCAAATGATAGAGAATTTCAAGAGGATTGATTCTCTATCTAATAGCTTAATCCAAAAATCAATCATGTAACTTTAAAAATCAAAATAAAATCCTCACCTTAGTGGCTATGGAGGTTTTGGCCAAAAGGAAGATGATAGATGAATTTTCCTTTGATTTTTCTTATTCATTATCAATTAAAACATTTTACACCTTTTTAATATAATTGAATTTAAAATTCAATTAATGAGAAATTTAAATTCCACCCTTAATGAATCATGATAATTGCCAATTTCCATTGAAATATCTTCCATTAAAATATCTCATAGTCAAAGATGAAGCAAAGTAATGTTGACTTTCTACTTTGGCCACATAATTTCTAAAAATTGCAATTTAGTCACCAAATATTTACAGTTTTGGCTAAATAGGAAAAATTAACTTCAATTCCACTGATCCATGCTAAATTTCACTATTCTAAAATACGAAAATAATATTTCCAACCTTTATCTAACATCCTTCAAATTTTCGTGAATTCCGGTTCGATCTGATTATCCAATTTCTTACTGAACTTTACTACTTTATAGCTTTTAATACAAATCTCGAATCAAAATTCTGATTCCCATGAAAATCTTAATTTCGAGACAAACTATTCATTTACAGGTCAAAATATATATCTTTCAAATTTTATATTTTTGGTCACTACCTAAAATTTGTGTATTACAAAAATCTCTTAGTTTTGCTAAAATTAGAGAAGCCCAAAAAGCAAATCCACTACAAATCAACATATTATAATCAATTATGATATTTAAGCGTGGTAAAATTATGGTCCCAAGAACTAAAGAAAAGAAAAGAAAAATACCCAATTGTAAATAAAGTGCGTGCATTTCAAATCTGGGTATAAGCATATGAAAACTAGAGACCTAGAGCTAGTTAGATTCAAATAACACTTTTCTACATTCCAATTTTTTTGCAGGTGGAGAAATGGTGGAGGGATAAATGGGTTGTTTCTGTGTCAGCTAAAACTTTTAAGGAAGACATTTGAAAATGAAATGAAATTAGATAACATGAAATCAGTAAAACGATGGAAACAGTGAATAAATAGGTTGTTTTGGTGTCAGTTGAAGCTTTTGCTACAAGGTTTCGATCATTTTCTCCCTAGTTTGGATTGTCAAGTTTGTTCACAAAGTTCATGTTAATCCTTCAGCTTCTTTGGATTATGGCACCTCCATTTTCTTAATTGCAACAACCTTTAAAATACATAAAGAGAATATTTGTATGTTTTTTGTTACTCTTTGGTTCATTACCACTTATTGAATCACAACTCATGCATGGAGCAAACAAAGCTATTTCTACACAAACATTAGGAAAAAATTATAAATACCTCCCCTCATTGTTTGTTATTAGCGGGTCAATTTCAAAGATTCAAGTAAAGCTAGCCCACCATTTTTGGTCATTCGTCAATAATGTTATTGTTCAAAGTAACATCATTGGTCTTGTATCGTTTCTCGAAGTTTACAAATTGATTAATCCTCAACCAGTAATCGTTTAAACCCATTTTTTCAAATTAGAAATGTTTGGGGTTAATTTGATATAAAATCATTGTTTAATGACTTATTTGATGTTTTAGCAATAGTTTAGGGGTTAAATGGAATATTAACCTATTTATTACATTATCACACCATCAATTTAACGTTGATAACGGTGGAATGACTATTTTGATATAAATCGATAATATTAGTGACCAATTTGTTATTTTTGAAACTTCAGAGAAGAAAAATAAATACTTATTCAAACATTAGTGACCATGGATGTAGTTTACCAAAATAAAACATAGGAAACAAATCATGAGAATTGATCCCTCTAATAAATTATTGTTATCGGAAAACCCTATGCCATACCCTAACAACACCTAACACGATGAATTATGTAGTCTATATCAGCACTTACCTAAGTAGAAGAAACCAAAGCATCCAAGTGATTGCAGTCGAATCCGCAACCACACTGTGGAGACTGATAAAAGTTGTCAATAGGGAAGTTCGCCGAAGCCAGCCCAACGGAGAATTTCATCTCGTCACCCTCATGTATCACTTCCACGATGTTAAGCCAGAAGAAGAGAACCTTAACGCTCACGCCCTTCAAGTTCCTGATCCTGCCCGAGGAGATCACTCCCTGTATTGTAGATTTGTAACTGAGTTGGTACGAATCAATGGCGAAGTTGCAGGTTCCGCTCAGATAAGCTGAAAATTCCCCGGTCTCTCTGTTCAAATCGTACCCAACCACGCCGGTGGGAAGGATGCCTATTGGGAAGTCGTACTGTTGAAGAGCTTGGTACGCTGATAGCTTTTCGTCGTCGGCTATGGCGAATAAAGAAGCTGGGAGGGAGATTAGAGTGACGAAGATGATGATTGCGCTTGGGAACGCCATTTTTGAGCGAGCGGAGATCTTAGTTGTGATGGGATAAAGGAAAATTTGGGGATTTTTTTATTGGAAAAGTCAGATGAGGCTGCTGCTGCTGGGCTTCAGCAAGTGCACGGTGCACCCAAAAACCGAGTCCAACCGAGTTGAGTCGTGAGCTGACTGATAAAGACATTTATTTTATATTTGTTAGATTCAAATAATTATGTGTAATTTTGTTATAAGATAATGCATTATTTAAATTTGGTTGATCAAATTTCAGTTAAAACTTGAATAAAATATATTCAAATCGAGTTTAAATTTGACTCATATTCTTAACAAGTCTAAGTAAATTATTTGAAACTTGATTTGAAAAACTCGTGAACGATTTAAAAATATAATATATTAATTTTTTAATTTTTGAAATTAAATTATTAATAATATTAGTAGTTATATGTTATATTTTAAAAAGATATGATTTAAAGTTTTTATGTACTTAAAATCTATATTCAAGTTCGAGCTTTAGACAAATTAAGCTTAAGAATATTTTAAATTCAATTTTTTTTGAGCTCGAGTCGAACTTCAATTTTCTATTTTTAGTTTGAATAAAGTTTAATAATTTTAAATTTATGAACTTTCAAATCAAATAAAATATAAATTTAGACTTTTCAAATTAAATCGAACTCAACCATCTATAAAACTTACTTATTTATAGCCCTACTAGGGATTATCTTCTTGTTGATTTTTAATTGTTCGGAATGGACTTTTGACGAGGTAGTTTAAGTCTTCTTCCTCCGACAACTTTTTTTGTCTTGTTATAGGATCATTTTGTGGCACGAGTCATTTTTCCCACGTGAGAAAGGTTAACAGAGGATCCAAAGTTGGAGTTTGGCTTATTTGCTTTTGCTGAGAATTGAGGCAAAGTTGTAATCACAATCAAGACATTACGTAACAGAAAATTTAAAATTTATCTTGAAAATTCTTAGGATCTCATGCATATTATATTAATTAAGATGAAAATAATTGTGAGATTACATTAAATGTTCGTTCAACAATCTTTTTATGTTTCTAGTTTACTTTCGATCTCCAAAGGTATTACCTTTCTAAAAGACGATCACTCTCTACAAGTATCCACACACGCACGCACGCACGCAAGTACGTGCAAACACACATATAGGGTTAGGATCTACATACACATGCAAGGTTAGGATCCATTTACTCACACATTTAGGGTTATGATCCAATTACAGTGTATAAAATTCTTTTAGTTTTACACCTTTTTAAGACCATTGGATTGAGAGAAATCAAATGCTGAAATTAATTATATTCTCATTTTCTATTGTTAATTTCACCTTTTAATTTCTCTCCAACTTCTATTTATATTAATTCAATTAGTATTTATTTAAAATACTTTTTTAAAATAAATAATAATAATAATTTAAATCATGTTCCTTATCTAATAAGGAATTCAAATTTAACTTAGAATTTAATATTATTCATTTAATATTATTTTTTAATTAAATAAAGAAATAATAATAACTAAAATATTTTTAAAAAACAAATTTAGCTTCTTTAAATTTGAATAATAAATAATCTCTATAATATAAATAATCTCATTATCTTAAATTATTATTAAGATTGATAACCGCAATCATTCTTATTATGTAACCCTATAGGTTCAATTAATATTGACAATAAATAAAATCATATTTTACCCTACAAGTCATAAGTGACCTCTAGCAAGACATTATAACTACCCAAGTAAAATGAAAAGTTAATGATCGGACACAACCTTAACAAAAACCATATCATAATTTTTTTATTTCAATATATCTTGATAGAATATAAGGAATGAAAAATGACAGCCTTATACATTATTATCTTTAATTTCTTGATACTCAGTTGAACTAATTAAACAAATGACATTGATCTTCAACAAATCATTTGAGCACAATCATACATTTCTTAGCCACAATCATCGAGGAACCTTGAGATTTCTCTCTTATGATAAAAGGGATAAAGTTCATCTTAATCACTCACATCTCACTATATGATTCTTGTCATGTTCAAACACAACCTTTATAAATTTTTGATTAAAGACAATGTTTGGCTATGTCAAAAATTAATAATTATCATGTTGAGAACTATAATAATTTCAAGTCTAAGGACTTAATGGCATAACTATTGAAGATTAATATTGTCGGAACGATCCTTAAGCTCAAGAATGTCACTCGACTTATATGTTTGGGCAAATTTAGGTTTTGTTACGAAAACAAGTTTGGAGTCGCCATCAACTTTTGGGTTAGGTAGGTCGGGTACCTAAAATTGTCTTTTAAAACCATTTTAAGAAAAATCATTGAAAAAGGCAATTGGCATGCATATAACTAGAAATTCATTTTTAAGAATTCGGGAGTCGATTACACATGGGGAAGGGTGAACACCCCCACAACGTCCAAAATTAGTACCCTTCGATTATATGTAGTCTAAAATGGCAGAATTTTACAAACTTTAACTCAAAATTTGAATTACAATCCTTTTATTTCTAAAAATTTATAAAAATGAGTGAATCTCTTTAAAACATTTGACTCGTTAAAAATAGTTTAATTCACTCGGTTTTATTTAAAAAGGGTGTCCTCTTACTACGTGAATTAACAAAAATTGAAGCCTAGTCATGTTAGGTGCAATCCCATTAACCTGCGACACAAGACAATGTTGCCCTTAAATATTTGGAAAACTAGAAAACAAATGCATGGTTTATGGATGCAGCATTAATAAATGTCATGTAAAAGATTGCATGAGATATCGAATATAGCAAACAAAGTGAAGAGGACACTAAAATATTTTTATTTATATTTATTAGAACTTAAAATTGGTGGAATATCTTTCACTTGTGCGTCCAAAAGAAAGGCAATCCAGGTTTGTGGATTTTTTCCCTATAGATCGCTCTTCGTTCGAGATAAAATCACCAAATAGAATATAATTTATTTTTATTAAAATAATTTTATTATAAGAAAAATAATTACCTATAAAAAAAGACACATTTATTTAAAATAAAACACATTTATATATTTTTAAATATTATGGGGTTTAAATAAATAATAAAAAATAATAAAAATATCATTTTTATTCAAATAACCCTCGGAAGGGCACTCTAAATTTTTGGAGGTCTTACATAGGTTAGTAAAACAATAAAACATATTGAAATATTAAAATAATAAAAGCTACACTTTACAATATATACATATTAAAACATTAAAAATGTTACCTTTAATAAAATATATATGTACATACTATTAGAGTATGCCCAAAGACCAATCATATGATCATTGTACTGACATATTTTCTTTCTCGTATTTATTGAATAAATACATTACCGTTATTTTCTTTTGTTATATTTATGTGCATTAAATAACTAAAAAATAATAATATTCATATAATAATATGATTATTATTAAAAGATCATTAGTCAAGTATTAGTATGGGCATGGAAAATAATAATACTATTAAGACTGACATGTTATTGATTGATGACAATGAGTTGTCATTGACATAGAGATGTCAAAATTGATACATGAATATGTTGTTAGAGAACAATATATTGGATTGACCCGTTATGAGCATATGTCTTGGATTATTATATGATAGTTGCGATATTGCTCATGGTGACAACTATATGTATGATCCTTAGACTTGAGATCATTACTATCTCAATATATATCGTTGTATATTTTGATACAATTAAATATGATATGTAATTGGTTGTTCTATAAAGACTGATATTGAACATATCATGAAATATGTAGTGGGGTGTGAATGATCGAGATAAGATTTATCATATGGTGACTATGCTTGATTGAGTTCAGGTCAGTTCATAAATTTCGACAAATCAGGCCTCTACTTCGGCACAAAGGTCATTGACTCTAACAAGAGAGACGTACGCCGAATTCTGGAAGTGGAGAACACGTCTGACCCAAGTAAATATTTGGGTCTATCCACACTGATAGGAAAGAACAAGAGACATGCATTTATCAAGACGAAAGAAAAGATGTGGGAAAGAATCCATAACCGCAACACTCGAGCGCTATTACAAGGGGAAAAGAAGTTTTCATTAAGTTAGTTTTAGAAGCTTTACCACTATATGCTACGAATTGCTTCTTACTACCTAAAACGTTGTGCGATGAATTGGAAAGAATCCTTAATAGGTTTTGGTGGCAAAGATCAACGAAACAGCGAGGAATTCATTGGAGTTCATGGGAAAAATTGAGCAAACTCAAAGAAGAAGGGGGGATGAGATTTCGAGATTTAGCCGAATTCAATGTGGCGCTACTTGCGACGCAGGGATGGCGAATACAAAATAATCATACCTCGTTGATGAACAGAATACTTCGTGCAAAGTATTTTCCTTCCTCAGATTTCTTGGACTCACGATTAGGATCACACCCCTCTTACATTTGGAGAAACATATGGAGCGCAAAAGGATTAATTGAGAAATGAACGCGTTGGAAGGTAGGAAACGACTAGATATTTTAATCCGGGGGGATTACTGTCTCCCGGGGATCTACCAAAGAAAATAGTGTCTCCACAAAGAGACAATATTGGGAGTGTTTCAAATTTTATCTATCAGAGTACAAGGAGATGGCGAGAAGAATTGATAGATGAAGTATTTACATCAGAAGAAGCAACTTTGATTAAATCCATTTCGATCTTAAGATTTGATCAAAGAGCTGTTAAGGTTTGGGGAGGAGAGTACTGAGGGGAATATATTGTTCGTAGTGGTTATAGATTGCTTATGCACAGTGATATATAAGAAACTATAGGCTGCCTGATGTCAAAGAAAGGTTAAGATCCAAGTTCAGAAACTATGCAACAACTATGCCCCAACAAAACAGACGCTACATTTTAGAAGAGTAATAAATGAACCTTTTTGTCCACTATGCCCTAATCATATTGAATTAAGTCTACACATTGTCAGAGATTGTAAGTTGGCACATGAAGCATGGATAAAACATTCTTACCAATGGCCGGTGCAAGGATTACAACGGAGCATCAAGGAATGGCTAAGTTGGGTGCTTGACAACACTGCATCAGAGAAACACTGGGTGATTTTAGTCACCATATGGGCCCTTC